GATTATAATTTTGTTGCACATCTTTCATAGAAATGGTGCTAGGTTAAAACAAGGTTTATGCTGTGTTTTCTTCCAACACAGATTTCAACACATCCCATGCTGAAGGGGAATTGGAAGACTTCCTGCACAATTTGACTGATGGGAATTAATTATAGAAATATAATGATATTCAAAAATAATCATATTAGAAAGCACAAACGTAGTGAGACTGTACAAATAAGAGACAGCCTCTATCAAGTAATTGTATGTTTGCTCTTTAAGAATATCTCCAAGTTTCTAAACATCTTACAGAGGGAGCACTCGGAGTATTTCCATCTAATACCAAACATGCTCAGTCCAGAACTAGGTCATTGAACAATAGACTGCACAGCAATCAGCACTCGACTGCTGCATAATGCATTAAGTATAACATGCAGAAACCATTCCCGGAGCTGCAAGCTGCTACTTCATGTCTGTAAATTCAAGCTGACATGACATTTAATATTGTTTCGTAGTAATGAACAACAAGGTTTCATTCATTCATAAGCACAACACAAAGCTATAACACAAAGTCTGGAGAGTATCAAGGAGGCGAGAAGGCGACACGGGCTGTTTCCGTAGATGATAACACCCTATTAATGATGGCCAGTGAGCCCTCTGCCTCCGATCTGGAGAGCTGCGACGGGGAGTTCATTGTGGCATTTCAGACTCCCGCTTCTAGAGAACCAGTTAAGGGTTTCCCTCCTATAGTGGCAGGAGTAGTTCATTTTCTTGACTCAATGGCTGGCTAGGAGTAATGTCCTCCTTTGCCAGCCCCAGGAACTTATGGTTGAAACTCCTAGGCAAAATAGTAGTGTCAATGCATGCTATCATCTAGTTTGCCTGCTTTGAAATATTTGTTTCTGAAATCCTGATTTGTATTTTCCCAGGGATACCAGTGCCACATATGAAATCTAAATGGGAACATGCCTCTCCCATTAAATAGCAGTACGTCTGTTTTAAAGGGAACTGCTCTCACAAGTTTGGCACTTTTGTCTGAAACTTCTAGATTGCATTCCTTTTAGATTCCTGGAGCCAACACAACAGCAAGAAGATGCGCAGTACAGCGCTGGCAGGTTTCCAGGCCCAGGTTTCCTTCCCTTCCAGGTACTGTGGTTTAGAACTGGTCAGCACTGTCAGGGCCAGCACCCGGCTTCCACGGAATCTTCCTGAAAGATGTTCCAAGCCCACGGTGAACAGAAATGATGTTTGCACATCTAAGTTTTGCCCACTAAGCAAGACAGAAACTGGAAGGAAACGTCGCTATTTGGGAAGCTGGAATAAGACTCTGATTGTTCTTTCCTCTAGGAAAGATCGCGCTTTGAGAACTTGGGGCCCCAGCTAACAGGCAAGTCCAGTGAAGATGGGAAGCTGGGCCCAGGTGTCATCGATCTCACTCGGCCAGAAGACGCAGAGGGTGAGTGGCTTTTCCTGCAGCTCTTTCCGGCTGCCCGGGGTGTTTCTGGAGCTGTGTCTGAGCTATAGGATCTTCATGGCCTTTCTTAGAAGTACCAGCTCGGTTTTCCTGGCAAAGCAGAGCAAATGTTAGTCTTTATCGTATGTTATAATCGAGGATTTTGAGATGTAGCTAGATCCTATATTACTGGACCCTCAGCAATCCACATACTTCAAGGTGCCATTCTACTTTTAAATTAAAAGGACCCTCTGCCTTCCAATGAACAACAAAATTGTTTCAATCACTTCACTGCATTCTTGTTAAAAAAGAAAAAAAGGACAAACCTATAAAGGAGGATTTTTTTAACACCCCAAATCAAGTGATCCCCAGGTGCAATCAAACAATTTTGGGAACTAAATGGTGGTTTGAGCAGATTTGGCATAAAATTAATAATGACTTGGGTAAGGCCCAGCCTGGGTGTGGGTGCTAACCATGAATCAAGTCTTTGGAAGGCTGGAAGGAGAGACTAGCTTCACTCTCACTGGGTTTGCCCGCAGCACTATCAATGCCTGTCCACTCCTCTGCACTTTCTGTTTGTTTGTTTTAAATGCACAGCAGCAAATCAGCAGAAATTGCTCCCCAGAGGCAGGGTACGATTTATGAGTTAGGCCAGCACTTCAGTAGTGCTGTTGCCTGGTTATTTACTGTGTCATCACAGAGCAGGGGCTGGTTTTCCCGTTGTTCCTTTTGCAGATTCCCTCCCTCCACCCCCAACAGTCAGGGAAGATTAATCTGTTCTCTTTAGAGTAACACAATACTCCACCTATCTTGGGTCTCAGCTAAAGTCCTTCTTTAGCTTCAGGGATGGAATCCTTTCTGTTATCCCTTTTACTGGCAGTATTTGTCCCCTGAAAACGCATGAAGACATTTCATAGCAGCATCTGAACTGGGTGGGCATAGCTTCCGGTGATATTTGGCCATCCCAGGCCGTTCAGAGCCCCCGGCACAAGCACTAAGGATGGGTAGTGTCAGATGTTAGGAGGCACCTCAGAGGGTTTCCAGAAGACAGACTTTTCATACCAGTAGGAGAGACTAATGTTTAGTGATAATCCTTGGGACAAGGTATTAAAATAAACTCTGGTGTGTGTGTGTCAGGGGTGGGGGGGTGCAAACATTTATTAAGCACTTATATGCCACAGAATGTGCTACATTTTTCACATACATTCTATGTTTTTTTATTTACACCTCATACAACTCTGTAAAGAAAGTATTATTATTTTTCCCATTTTATAGATGAGAAATTAAGGCTGAGAGTAATTAAGTAACTTGCCACAGGTCACACAGCTAGTAAGTGCAGAGCTGCGAATTGATACCAGGCAACCTTGGCCCTGGTACCCCAGCTCTTAAATACTGTGCTATACTGCACGCCCCCTATGTACATAGATATATAGTTGATGCCTTCATTTTTTGAACAAACCTCTTGTGACCTTCTTCAGAATGGCCCATTTCCTCTTCCCTAAATATAGCAAGTCATGCCCTACACCAGCTCTCCTGTTACTCTGTCACACGTAGCAGCAGTGCCTGCTGAGTGTAATGGTAGAAGGGCTGTTGTGGCCCAGGAGCTTAAGGAGCATGTGCAAAGCTCCCTTCAGAAGTTTGCCCAGCATTGCCATTGAGACCTCATGTGCTTTTGGGGGACTGTGAGTTCATGAATGGAGTCAAGTTACATGCTCTGATTTGGACAGAAGCCAATGCCTTTGTGAGGACTGCTGGGATGGGTAGTTGCCTTCTGCTGACTTCAGAGTATTTCCTGGAGTCTGCTCAAGTGTGAGATGATTGCAAAGCCTGCTGGAGTTACAGTTCATATTAGAGTCAGAGTAGATAGCAGGTACACAGAATACTTGCTCCATGTTGCTCTTTTCCCTTAGCAGAAAGAGTAAGAGGGGACTGAAGTGAAAGGAGAGCTAAAACATTTATAAACTCCTTGTGTCAGCTTGTACTCTTAAAAGCAAGCAAACAACTGTTGGGTGCTACTGTGTACCAGTCCCTGAACTAGATAGACTAGACACTGGATAACCAAAGGAAACAAAACAGACATGTTCCTGACCTCCTGGGGTTTAAAGTCTAGTGAAGGAAGACAGAAGAATAAAAGGAAAATGCACACATACATACAGACAGACATAATTATCATTGAGAAAAGTACTAAAAAGCTGAAGACTTCTTTGTGCCCCACAGAGATCCAGAGTGAAAGCTCCGAGGAGAGCTCAATGACAGGTGCGTTTGGTGGCTGC